GCGCACAGGCACACACAGGCACACACACGCACAGGCACACACACGCACGCACACGCACGCACAGGCACACACGGGCACGCACACACAGGCACACATGCACACACACGCACGCACACGCACGCACAGGCACACACGGGCACGCACACACAGGCACACATGCACACACACGCACGCACGCACACGCACAGGCACACGCACGCACACACATGCACGCACAGGCACACACGGGCACGCACACACAGGCACACACACACAGGCACACACACANCAAGCTGGCCAACTGGAGCCTCTGCTCTTCTATTACCAGAGGCAAAAGGGGGGCTGGGGGGCCTGGCTTCCTGGCTGTGGGGGGCGATCCTTTCTCAGGGGCACCAGTGCGGCGGCAGGACCAGCTGGTGGCTGACAGGGAGGGGGGGGTCCCGGGCGCTCTGGGTGTGAGGAGGTGGGAGGGCCGAGGGCCGGAGCCCGCAGAGCTGAGCACGCAGCCTGGTGCTGCTCTGAGGCCAACAGCAGGATGCCGGGGTGAGGGGGCTGCCGGGACCCCCTCCCACCTCCTCTGCCCCTGAGCGCCTGGCGCCCTCCCAGGACTCTGTCTGCCCTCACCCTTCAGAGAAAATTCACTTTTGCTACAAAAAAAAACATCTCCGAGGNCGCGCCCACGCACGCACACCGCAGCCCTCTCACCTACTCCTGCACCGCCCTTCAGAATCTGCTCGCCTGCGTCACGGGCCCGGGGCAGGCCTGGGCCGCCGCGCGGGGCTCAGAGACAGGACTCCCCGGGGACAGACAGGAGCCAGGCCCGCTTCACGGGGACCAGAGGAGGAGGCGTGTGTGCGTGCGAGGGCGTGGCCTTAGCCGGTCCTGGGGCAGGGAGAGGACAGAGGATGGTCATCACCGCACAAGCAGAGGAGGCGGGTGGGGCCGGCCGGCGCGGGAGACCGGGCCGCGGAGCTTCAGTTGATCTGGCGACAGGCCTCGAATGTCCACTTGGTGGCCCCCCCGTAGATCTCGATGTGGGACTCCGCCCAGGCGATGACGTTGCCCGACAGGGCCTTGCTGCTGCAGGTGGCCAGGTTGTACACCTCGCCCGGGGTCAGCTTGCGGTCCCAGATGTTAAAGTGGGCCAGCTCGCCCACAAACGCTTGGGTGGCGTCAAACCCGCCACCCAGAGTGTCCTTCAGAGAAAAGCAGAGGGTGAG